ACCAGATTAGGTTATTGTTAACAATATCAGAATAAATGTGATCTGAATACTTTTCTTAATATTGTTATGGTTTTTACATAGCAAAGGCAATAAGACCTTTTACGTAAATAACCTAAACATAGGCATGTTTAACGCCTAATAGAGCTATTAATTTAAACACCAAAATGAAATTAAAAAACTGTTTCGAAAATCTCAAATCCTACACTTTATACAAATGTAAAATATGTTTTGCTTTTTTCTTTTTTAATCACTATAAAAACATATTTGTTTGCTGTAAATTTTCCGGGAACACAAATTTTTACAAGGCTGGGCCCTTTATACTTATACTATTTACTATAACACTATTTATAATTGTAAAAAATATCTCTGAACATAACTAATCACCAGAATTATTAATAAAGTAGTCATATTATTATTTACGAGTATAGTGTTCATTAAGTCATCCATTTCGTTCTACATAATTGTTACGTAAATAAACGCGACAGAAGAATGAATTTTCATATTTAAATATTGATTTTGTAACTGGCTTTCTGTACAAAATTATACCGACTGCAAACGTCGACCAGTCTGAAAGTGCCGTTCGTTTGTATCTGTACGTACGCTCACATTTTTATGTATGTTAATCTGAGATTCGTTTTAATACACCAAATCAGTTCCAGAAAAAGGTGACTAGCTCGTCTTAAAGTTATAAAACAAGGTTTTGTCTCTTGCGTGCTTGCGTGCATGAATGCGTACGTGTGTGCGTGCGTGCGTGCGTGCGCGTGCGCAGCGCCCCCGTGTGTGTGTGTGTAATTAATTGTGTTTAATGCACTCGCTTGTTTGCTACAGTATTTTTAGGCAATAAGAACGAAAATTTATTTCTTGTTAATTTTTGTTTAGGTTAGATCGATCTAAGACTAGTCTGAACGCAGAGAATTCGCAATTTTTTTAGTCTATTTTTGTTTAAATTACAATGAAAACGTATATTTTATAATTATTGAAAGAATTGATTACAAATAATAGTATATATGCCGTCGATTTTGGATTAACTTTTTAAAATTATATCATATTAAAAAAAACTGTGTGTTTGTATGATAACAATAAATATACGTCTAGTTGTTGGACCAAAGATCGTATCTCATTTTCTGAGATGGTTTTAGGTCGAAGAAGTCCACCGCACCACCCAATACGTGTTGTGGTGGAAATTACGTGTTGATTTATCGGATAAGCCGGTTTTCAACTTTTTTTCAACGCGTTTTATTAACTATGCAAACGGTTGGAATTGACATTTAAACTTTAATCTCAAGGTGTTGGAATGGTTGTGGTCAATCGTAAATATATTGTAAATTACCTTATCTAACTGATTTACAATTAATAAATCAGTACTTATGTAAAATCGTAAATTATAAGCTGTTATAAAATCTTTGCAATGTTTAGGATAAAAGAGCGTAAGGGCAGTCACTTAAGCGAGAATTCATATAAAAGCTTATATCACAATAAAATCTTTATTGAAACTATAAAATAACAAGATTTACTTATTTCGCTATCAATTAAGATCAGTTTTAAGCCCTTTGGCAATCAACTTTGGAAATAATGACAGTTTAGATTTGACCCCCACGGCACTGAGGTCAAACAAAATTTAACACACATCGCACACATAACCTTTGGCTTAGTCTTAGCTTAGAAGTGATTGATCTGCTTGCTTTGATGTGCTAGGCGTCGAGCTTATATTATCATGTACTGCATAAGTAGCAGCAGCTGAAATAGATTCATCATAATCTTGTACCGCAATAAACTATGATTGGAGAATTTCAACTGCAACAAAGCCTTCTTCTATAAATAGTTCGGGATTAATTGAAAATGCAATAACCTTGTTGATCAATTAGCTGCACAGCTTTTTCCAAACTATCGGTAGACCAGGAAGTCTTTTCGGTAATTCTGACCCGTACTTTCGGCATCTACAACAAAATAAAAAAGCAGTATATAAAAAAGCAAATTAAGTCCATAGGAACATTATACTACTTTACTTTGCTAGCAATGACTGTTGACATCTGACTCCCATTGGCCGCAACTACATTGTATGAATAAAAAGTAAAAAAAAATTGAAATTGTTACGGTAAAGAAAGGGTGTACATCACTATTTTGAATGTCAGACTAATTACACATAAAAGTCTCATTTAGATACATTATGAAATTCGAGACTTACCTTTTGTTTTCTTTCGACGAACATTTACATCGGCGAGACGCAAAAACAAAACGCAATCATCACTTTGAAATGCGCGGCGGATACTGGTGAGAGTCGTTCTAAATAGTGGTGGGGGCACGGAACAGGGCGTAGTTGTCATTTACGTGACTCGCGTGTTTAATTTTGCAGATGAGTATGTGATCACCACTACCCGCTGACTCCCATTACCCGCTCTTCCCCTACAATGTTGGTTTTCCTTTGTTTGTTAATTTGCTATTGTATTTGTTTACATTGTATAAAATTGTTATTATGATAATAATTTATTTATATAAAAATGTTAGCATTACCAACCTTAGATCTAAGTTTATTATTTCTTAGGACATAACACGTAACGTAGGTAAATTTGTTAGCGTGTATGGGATACCTCATAAATTAATAAATACAAGACAGTAAAAATTACTTTTAAAACCATATACATGATTAATTGGAAGGCTGCATCATCTAGCCGAATTACTATGACGCGTATAGCGTTGTTAAACGTTTTGGCTAACTGAAAGTCAAACCTTTCTATGCGACTATTAGGATCAAATCGTTTAAATTTAATTCCATTTTTTGCCAATGTGGCGATAAGAGTAATTTCTGGTCTCTGTAATTTTACAGATTTCAAAGTTGGTTACGCAATTTAAATCCAATCGATTAAAATTTATACTTTCACCTAACTCATGATCAGGCACTCATGAACTCACCCTCGCAAGCTCTTATGTAAAACGTTGCGTTTAGGAATTTGGCTATAATTATTAATGACATTCAATTAAATATCGGTGAATAACTGAGATAGCAGATCAATTAACCGGCGGATTAAACTATCGAGCTGCACCATACACCATTTTGTGCCAAGCCATCCAACAAAGTAGAATTTACAATACTGTTTGAATAATGTATATATTTTTGTCGCTTTGTTTAGTTTAGTTCAAATCGTTAAAGTTTGTACAATTAATTATGTTAAATCATCACTTTTTTAGGTTCATGCAATGTATACTGCCCGTATGCCTTTGAAATAAAAGTTAGATGGATATTTAAAAAGAATTGAAGACAATTTTGCTTTGTAAAATATTTGGGTATACACACATATACATAATAATATAATATTTGTACCAATACGTATTTGAAAATTTGAATCTTTTATTTTAAGATCTGTACATATCATTTATTGTAAACTTTCGGTTATAATATTAAATAAATATGGCAATGGTCGTAATGTGTTTTATTTTTATTCCTCATTTGTGGGAAAATTTAAATTTGAAGTGGGTCTAAATGTATATATAAATCAACCTAAGTATTCATATAGCACAATATTATTAAACATAGCGTAAGTACATTCTGTAAGCGCCCCACTGTTAGGCATAATTATATTCTCTTATTATTGAACGGATAACGTTATGTAAACAGTCCTACCTGCTACTCCTGTGCGACTTGGCAGACTTGAGCTACAAATATTCTCGAACGAGCTATAGTATTTTAGTGGTTTTGCGCTTGATATAGTACGCGAGCAATTTGTGGTAATTCCCCGACGGCGCCCCTATGATTGTGAATCGGATTTTTTGTAAGTACTGATAACCGTATGAAAACATCGTAATGCCTATGATCTATGACGACTCTTTCTTGTTCCCAGCTGTGGAGCGAATGTAAGCTGTTATTCTACTTTCATCAATGCCTTTAAAATATCTTTGTCAGACTTGCAGGTTTTTTACGATATATGAACGTACGTTACGTTATAGTCAAATTTAAAAGTTGCAAATTGTCAGCTACTACCTTTGATATTGAATGTTAAATAGTGGATAGTTTAACTTTAAATGCTGTCGATTGTCCAAATTCCAAAAACAGCAACAATGGCATAGATTGCAAAACCTTAAACTTGTCAACATACCTGAAGACAAGGATAAGGAGTTACTGAACATAGTGCTAAAAACGGCGAATCACGTCGGTGCTGCCATCTAACCCACAGACATAGAATTCGCCTATATGGAACTTAGCAGTTGTCCACGGAGTGAAGTGTGCTGAGTTGAGGAATTTAATATTTGTGGTGACTAGAGTAGTTGATGAAACTGCAGTATTTAAAACCTCAACTACTCTCGTCTAAAATAATTTAGTACATAAAAGTCGCCGTGAAACACGTTGGGGGAGTGATTTTGAAAATAATAATAATTATAGAAAACAATTATGGTGTAAGTCTGAGCAGTAAAAAGTTCTTTAAAATTTACCCTCTAGCTACAGTGGCGCCACCCTTGTTGAGCGCTTTCCCACGGACAATTTTTAATACAGACGGTTATCCTTACCTCTACACTCTATGAACATCATATTAGACTTCATTATTAACCTGAACATTTGCCACACACAATAACATGGATGTACGTTTTATTATACCAGCAATAAATTTGTAAAACTATGTTTATGTTATGTGTTAATTCATCAGACAATAACAACTAAAAAGATAGTACAGACTTTGTGACGTAGAGTTAAGTAGGCCTATCTACGGAAACGGAAATTAGTTTAATACATTGTCTTTCATGAAATACATGACGCTGGCAGAATCCAATGGTGCCAAACTAGGAAAAAAAAAAACAAAATAAAATAAACAATTTCTACACAATTAAATCTTTATTTGTACTCTTTATAAAATTCATAGAAAAACTACACAATTAAACCTTTATTTGTACTCTTTATAAAATCCATGGAAAAATCTCACACATAAATAACTTACATAACAATTTATTTGTACCCGTACCGTTAATTACATAAAAATAGTCTGAATTAAAAAATATCAGTATCAGTCTCTTCAAGTCTTTTTCTGCTCCAAACGCTGGAACTCTTCAAGAAGCGCTTCGTCCTCGAAATACGGGAACGATTCTGTAATAGTAGAAAAAATTATCAGAGGAAGACCTTATTTAGGAAACGCCATGCCCAGGAGTGGACTTTTATGGGTTAGTAATTGTAATAAAAACTAGCTGTCTCTATGGTCTGGTGGTTGTAAACTAACTGCTGATCATGAGGTCCCGGGATCGAAACCCGGGTCCTGCGCCTCTTCCGGTCGTGTCGCTTACCGTCTCATCGTATTATGAGAGTGAGGGGATAGAGAGTGCACTTGTGCTTGCGCATACACTTGGGCACTATAATCCTGTCCTGCGCCATTGACTAGTCTCCGTTGAGGCTGGCAGCCTTGACCGAAATTCGATCTTGAGGATGGTAGAGCCATGCTGCAGTTATATTAGTAGTAAAGTTGTAGCTCGAATGGGTCGGCTCGAGCGGAGAAGGACCACGCTCTCACAGAATACGAGCGTCAAATAGTAGCTTAATTCTGCTGTGTTTCGTATGGTGAGTGTAGAGAACCGGAGACCCTTTTTACTGGAAACGAGGCATTCCATCTTAGTCCTCACGGGTGACAACGCATCTGCATTTTGATTCGTAATCGAGGATAGATGTAGATGTCTATGGGCTACAGTAACCACTTACCATCAGGTGGACTGTGTGCTCGTTTGTCACCCTATCCTATAAAAAAATACTAGCTATTGCTCTTTGCTTAGATATTTCAATGAAAATAATTATCACACAATTAATATAGAGGCCTATACATCAGTTTTCCTAATGATTCTATAACGAGGACATACAACTTAATATGTATGTTATGTCCTCTTTATAAAATCTGTACATACTGGATGACTATTTTTACCGTCTGGAAAATAATATGGTGTTTTGTGTAAGTGGAACAGAAGCTATCCTCGAAAGTATTTGTAAAATATAACAAAATATAACTAGATAGGTAAAATTTCCGAATATCCAAAAAATACATAAAAACAATTCATCTACGATCGCTAGTGAATGAAAGTTGTAAGAGCGAGCGAGATGCATGAATTTTTCATTATGTAGGCGCCAGGCGGCCGAGTGGGAGGGGAGCGGCCGACACAACGTTACAGCCAACATTCCGTCGCGTATCGCATGTTTGTCAGACTTGCATTACCTTTCCTTTCGGATTATTATTTTTGTGATTTCGATCTTTCCTTCAAACTTTTACGGGCTTAGGACCGTCTAATATGTTGTAGTGGAGGAGAATTACATGTTAAGTTTTATCTTGCATTGTAATGAATTGATAAACAGTTTCTAATAATAATTTTTGTGTCTACCTTATACTGCAACATCTTGGCGTATTTAAAAGATCGAAATCAACTTATTTGTAAACTAAACTGACTGATATTTACAAAATTATACTATAGTACGTTTCTAGGGCAGGCGGAAAAAAGTACATTGACCTTTGACGATATCATCGGGGTAGGAAATCTTTTTTGTTTAGGTTCATTTTTTATCCTTTTATCATTACATACATCATCAGAGTGAAAAATAAGGGTGCCGAGTGCAAAGTTCTTTAGAGGCCCTATGTCTATTATTATATAATAAAGAAAGAAGATTATCCTGTAATATAACGTGTAATTTAAGTTTATTATTTATAAATCATGAGTTATTACATTTTTCATTATTACATTAATAGTAGGTAAGTACTTTAATAAGTAGGTAGTTATATAAAACATAACCACTTCTTGGCAGTCAGGTAAAAAGACGAATTTTTAATGCTAAGCATTCTTAAGCAGCCAACCTTTAAGCATGCATAAAACTTCTCATAATGGATTGTCAGAGACACTTGACGGAAAATTGATCTGTATCTAATTTCAGAATCATTTTATGATGATGAAGACGTAGAAGAGTCCGTCTCATTGATTATAACCTAAAATGTCGGCAGTCTTCTTTTTCATATCCGTTTTGGATGGAAATACGTCACTAGACCACGTTTCTTTTACATATTTATAGATGTTTACAATCATTATTTTATCGGTTTCCGAAATATGCGACAATTTTCGCCTCTTTCGTGGTGACGTAGTCTTTATGAGATTTTCATGTCGATGGATACGATTTCATACTAGTGATAATATACCAAACGTCACAAAACAATAACAAAAAAAAATAATACTACTAACACTAAAAATAAAAAATTTATCCCATATTATCTCTGAATGACCGCTTCCTTCACCCTACCCCGTACCATGAGACACGCTTAGTGCACTACGATACGTAATCTATAAAAGAAATGTATGGTAGCAATAACTGTCGTTTTGTTTCGATGCTAACATAACACTTAAGGTCAATGTACTTTTTTCCGCCTACCCTAGAAACGTACTATACATTATTTGCAAAACTATAACGTTTTTTACAAATAAAATTACCTTTTTAGCGATATCGCAGTAATTGTGCAAAATCTCTACCATTTTTCCTTCTAAACACAAACTAGCACGTATTTGTAAATTGTTTGTTAAATTTCGAAGCATGTCTCTATCACTTTTTATCAAATAAAAGCGTCTATTATACTTTGCTTGAAATCAATAACATTTTGTGCTTCTTCTGTGTACACTAATTGTTTTAGTTCGGCCCACAAATAAATGTCTGAAGATGTTAGGTCTGGTGATCGCGCCGGCCAGTTCACAGGTCGACCGCGACCTATCCACTTAACACCGAATTGGCTCGTCATTGTTACATACTCGACATTAGAGTATTGGGAAATGTTTACGATACACACATGTAAACATAATACGACGACGAGGGCGCGGATGGCTTTGCCCTTGAGTCTGTGATTGGTCCGTGATCGTGAATTTGGTACGTTATTTAATTCATTGTTTTTACCGCTCCCAAAGTATCCAACTTAGCACGATTTAAATTTCAATAGATTTTAATTGATTTATTTAATTCAAAATTTTTGTTTTTATTTTTGTAAAATATTTGTGCCATAGGCTTCTACTCCGTTAACCTTTTACACCCTAATTCACATTCAAATTTCACCCAGTAAAATATATTTCAGTGATAATAATGTTTAGTCGATAAATAGAGAGGGCTATGCACAAAGTTTTCTTGTGTGATAGATTATAAAACGAGGATATACGAAGTAGAATCAGAGGTAACGACAAGAAGTGGTAGTCGGCAGGCTCGAACAACCGAATCGATGAAAAAGAAAGGTTATCAACGTGTTTTGTGGCAGTCTGAACAGGCCTACATTCAGCTTTGTGAGTTTGCTTATGCTATAACGATCAGTTATGTTATTAAAAATTCTTGACTATATAAGTGCTGAGTTCAAACCCCAGCTGAAACAAACGCTTGTGTCAAAAAAACTGTTGGTTAATGATCGTCGTCATGTACCTGATATTGCCTTCAAGTCGATGTTATCGCATACGTGTTATGTTATAATAAGAGTGGAAATCCAAGTCCATTTGATGACTAGGTTCGCCACTTTTAAAGGAAGTTTTCTAAGGTAAAAAATAAAATACAACTTGTGAAACTTATCTGTCCGCTCCGTATTTTAATTTAAAACTTTGATAAGTCAAAATAGGTAAATATATTAGTTATGATGTTAGAGTAGTGATGACATTACCTTTACTCCCCCTCTCCAGTTTCACTTTCCCTAAGACGACCTTCTTATCGTCGTCTTCGGTCTTTAATTCTGTTACACCGAATGTAGCCTGCAACAAATTTATGCAATGGTATTAAAAATATTTACCAAGAAATGTTACAAAAAAAAAAATGCATGACCAAAGATGGTCAGGAATGCCACTCCTGATCTTCTTTGGTCATGCCTGTGTATGAGATTATAATTCGGTCTTCAATAATGTCAAACCTTTATAATTTGGTAAAGGCCAACGTCCTAGTCACAGACGTAGTTGTCGAGTTTATACGTGTTTATTTTATTTTGTTGTAAAGTGTAACACAAAATGTCGACTGTATTAATAATTGAATGCCGCGTAAATAAAATTTCCATAGAAGATCCATGCAGGAACAGTCGAAATGGATGCAGGTTACTGTGTAAAAACCAGGTCGTCACTCCATTTAGTGGGGGATCGCCTTACACTTCGCTACTATGCACTCGAAAACCCCCCTTTTCCCATCGGTTGCCGGTTCTTCGAGCTATATGGCCGGCCCATTGCCACTCCAGCTTACTAATTCATTGGGCTGTGTCAGTCACTCTAGTTCTAGTGAGGATATCCTCATTTCTAAGTTTATCACGCAGAGAAACTCCGAGCATAGTCCTCTCCATAGCTCGCTGAGTGACCTTGAGCTTCTTCATACGGCCAGCAGTGAAGGAACACAGTTCCATAAATCATCACTGGCAACACGCACTGGTTGTACAGTCTCGTTTTTAGGTTTTGAGGTATAGTTGAGGAGAAGATGTGTCGTAGTTTCTCGAACGCTGCCCAGCCGAGTTGAATCCGTCGATTGACCTCTCGGCCAAAGTCGTACTTACTAGTCGGACTATTTGTCCCAGGTAAACATACTCGTCAACAACTTCGAGCTTAGTGCACCCCACAACTACAGGCATAGGTGTGACAACCCACGACTTTGTTTTGTCCATGTTCATCTTAAGGACTATCCGTTGGGAAACACTATTGGGGTCATTGAACATAGGTGCTTAGGTCGATAGGTATTCTCCTACAAGGACTATATATCGTCGGCAAACAGAAGGTGAGTGATGTACTCGCCATTGATGTTAATACCGCATCCTTTCCAGTCCAGAAGCTTGAAAACGTCTTCCAATGCAGTGGTGTAGAGTTTCAGGGATATAACGTCACTGCCTTACACCTCTCCGCATTTGGATACGTTTCATACTCTGGTTCTGTTACTCGGATAGCCATCGTAGCCCTACTGTACAAACACTTCAGCACTTCGATATACCGACAGTCAACTTGGCACCGCTGAAGGGACTGTAGTACTGCCCAAATTTCGACGGAATCGAAGGCTTTCTCATAGTCCACATACGCCAGGCAAATTGGCAGATTGTACTCTTCGGTCTTCTGTACAATCTGCCGCAGGGTATGTATGTGGCCTATGGTGCTAAAGCCTTTTCGGAAACCGGCTTGTTCGGGAGGCTGAAGTAGTCGAGTTTGCTGCGAGACGATTCGTAATGACTCTCGAAAACAGCACGTAGACGCGGCTCAGAAGGGAAATCGGTCTGTAGTTCTTCAAGAGAGCGTTGTCACCTTTCTTGAAAATCAAGATCACCGCACTTCTGCGCCACGTCTCCGGAATAATGCCACCATGGAGGACGGAATTAAAGGCCTTTAAGTACCAGTTTTCCATCCGCTTTCAGAAGCTCGGCTGTAATTCGAGGATGGAATTTTCCGTTTTTAAGGTGCTGGAGAGTCATTCTAATCTCGCTCAGACTGACGTCCGGGATATCATCGAGATAGTGTCGGATAAGACTTGCTCTTGAATCGTAACTCACACTTGTGTGTGGCTCAAACGATGACATGTACAGCTGCCCATAGAACATCTCAATCTCACTCAAAATCTCAGGTGTCCCGGAAACGACGCTGCCACACTCGGTCTTCAGCTTCGACAGTCCGCTCCTTCTGGCAGACAGATCTCTGGCAAAAACTTTGGAGCCTTGGCTCCGATCAATCGCTTCTTCAATACGATCTATCTGTTCAGTTGCCTGTATGCTGTCAAGTCTGCTTAAGACTGCACCTTCATTTTCCGTCTAACAGCCGTGAGATTAAGAGTATGATCGAAAAGTTTTTGTGTTCTTCTGTGACGGGTCTTGCAGAACTTAGCTCCGACCGCATGGACAGTTTCCACAAGCTTGACATTCATATCGTCCACTGTATTGCAGTCTTCTAGGCACTGAAAAGGGATTTGTGATTCGAGCTGAAAGTTTTCGGGACCCTGTATTAGCGCACCAGGGTAATTAAACTGACGACGTCGTGTGTAAACGGCGGAATCATACGAATTGCCCGCAACATATCTCTGTGTATGCGTGTATTTTATACGCTGTCATACTGTTCATCAGATTGCGGTAAAACTTTGTCAACTTATTGCTTGCACTTGCGCGAAGGTTATAGGCATAGTACAATTATCTTACTGTAGGTTGCGCGCGTATGGTACCGACAAATTTATTTGAAAGTTATAATATAACATTCAATTTAAATGAATGTTTTTAACAGTATAAGGGTGATAAACGAGCACACAGTCAACCTAATGGTAAGTGAATGCTGCGGCCCATAGATATCTACATTTATCCTCGATTAAGGATCAAAACGCAAATGCGTTGTCACCCCTGAGGACTTAAATGGAATGCCTCGTTTCCAGTAAAAAAGGGTCTCCGGGTCTCTATATTCGGCATATGAAACACAGCAGTATTAAGCTGCTATTTTACACTAGTATTCTGTGAGAGCGAGAGATTCGTGCTACAACTATAATATGCAACGTGGTTCTTCCATGTACAAATTATTATTTCTAATTAAAGAGTATAATTCTTCCAAATTTAAAGCGATATTTCCACAATTATTTTTTCTGCAGCAGCAATGCGCCGGGTACCAGCTAGTATAGAATAAAAACCGACTTCAAACAACATAAAATAATGAAATAATTTGCACGTAATAGCTTCTGAATTCTAGGCTTTAATTATTCGGTACACTATATCTTAGTAAAGACTCGGAAGTCTAGTACGGATAGCTATGTGGAAATTAATTATTTTTAGTTCTTCGAAGTCGCAATAATCATACTCTAATGCACCCTAATCATATAACGCGGGTTAATGGTTCAGTTTACTGAAAACTTGTTTGAATAATACCTTAACAAATTCGGGAATCCCATCTTGCAGATGATACCAACTGAGGATGAATATGAAAGACACGAAGAAAATATTCGTAGAGATTCCTGCAACGAAAATTATACTAAGTTAGAGGTAAATTATAGCCAATATTTCTATTTTTAATTCATTCACGAAGGGAATATGTGACTCAACTTAGGGAAACCCTGAAAGTTTTCAACGTGTAGAGCCACGCTATATGGGACTACTATGGAATGCCTCGTGCATTCCATAGTAGTCCTCAGGGTGACAGCGCATCTGCATTTTGATTCTTAATTGAGGATCGATGTAGATGTCTATGGGCCACAGCAATCACTTACCATCAGGTGGACTGTGTGCTCGTTTGTCACTCTTACTATATAAAAAAATCCTACGATAGATGGCAGTATTCATCATCATCATTACAGACTATCACAAGCTCACTACTGACTGCCACAAAGCACGGTCCTGAGCCACCTGTAACTATGAATTTTGCGCATATCTTACCATGTCGTCACTCCATCTAGTGTGGCACCGTTTCGCTTATCGGTAAAAGTCATGAGATATTTCTGTAATTTATGGTGTCTTAAGACACCCACATGACGAAATGCAACGACATAGATGCGAGTCGTTTTGTTAAGCGTCAGTCCAATGAAGATTGCACCTTCTGTCTTCTATTGTAAAGATCCATTTCTAAATGAAGACTGTTGACGGGCTGGTGAACAAAAAGAAAAACCCGTATTAAAATGACGATGTACCTCTTACCGTGTAGTAGTGATATAAGAATATCCACTAACCCATATAATCCCGTGGGTGTCGTCAGAGGCGACACAGGGAAACCAATCAGGAGACGGACATGCCTCTATGACGTAATTTATGGGATGGAAAATGATCAGCAGTTGACTTTAGTTGTAACGCTAACGGTAAAATGATGATGAAATGCATTCAATATGCGAACATATAGTGCGCGCTGCTGACTGACGGATAAGGCACGAAACAAGCGATGGTGGAAAACCAAATCAAAAACCCACAAAAAAGCAAGCAAAACTAAAGTCCGGTGATTTGGAACAGTATCACAAGTGTATCGACTTCACCAACCCGTCTGTTCACCAGTGGACTTGAATAGACTAAAGTATAAGATAATGATAACACGTATACATACAATACCACTCACCAACGAACGCTGAAATACGCGGCCAGTAATACATCACATACCGCAACCCAGAGAAATGCGCCTGTATATGCAGCTCGCAGCTATACGTTTGTGCAAAACGCGACTGGAGTTCCACATACGCGTCTGTCACTGGTAATTCCTGGCAAAAAATACTACAAGTAGTAGCCTTGTGTAGTTCACGAACGGTGAACGAAAAGGAACCACTTTATACGTGGCAGAGCCACGCAGCAGCTATATTATATTTGTAGCACGAAGTCCACGTGTAGTTCACGGGTCGGCTCGACTGGGGAAGGACCACGCTCTCACAGAATATCAGCGTAAAATAGCAGCTTAATACTGCTGTGTTTTGTATGGTAGGTATAGAGATCCGGACCCTTTTTTACTAGAAACGAGGCATTCCATTGTGGTCCTCAGGTGTGACAACGCATTAGTATTTTGATTCTTAATTGAGGATAAATGTAGATAGATGTCTATGGACCACAGCATCCACTTACCATCAGTTGGACTGTGTGCTCGTTTGACACACTTATTCTATAATATGTTTATATATATAATGTACTGGAACACACGTTTTTTGACGCTATTTGCTATTCGTCGTTTGTAACTCGCAAAGCATTCAAGCCCCAAGAGACCGCCACTGAGTTTTGAGAGGATACTAAGAGTAACAAATTCAAATTTTACGATTAATTTAATATTTTCCAGACTGAACTTCGGTGACGGCGGTCAGTCTCACCGGATAATAGCCATCTACGCAGGACAGATTATAGTGCACGAGTATATGCGAAAGCTCAAGTGCACACTCTTTCCTTCCTCAATCTCATAGCCCGATGGGACGGCAATATGACACGATCAAAGATTTGGCGCAAAAACAACACTTATATGTGCTTTTGGACTGCCAATTTTTAGGTGGAGTATGTGGTCATTTCTCTCTCTTGTTCTAAAAAAGTCCTGACTAAGGACTGCTACTAAGAGCTTCTTGACAAATAAACCCAAAGTGATTTTGTCCCAGCCCAAAATTCGAATCAGGAACCAGATGATCAGCAGTCGCGTTTACTACCTCTAGACCAACGAGGCATTCAATTAATAATGATGTACTGAACTACTTCTTTCGTTTAATAGCAAATAATGAGCTAGACGATCAACTAACTTTTATACTGCTGGAGTCCTACAAAAGCAGTCTTTTTCCAAGCACTATTATGTCCAAAGACATAGCAAGTTATTTGAAGTTTATAGATTTTGAGCTAAATGAAAGGTGGCAGGTGTTTTGTTACGCCCAAAAGGCAACTGACTTACTAGCATAATTATTATACGATCACGAATTTACCATGCGGTGGCAGTGTAAATAACTCAAACGATTTCGTCCCGTGGATGTCGTAAGAGACAACTATAAGAAATGGGAAAAGAAATTCTAAGTCTTCCGATAATGGCGGTATAACAATCTTGTTTACGTCAGACGTAAAATACTTTGACACTAAAGGTGTTCACGTCTGGAACTGCCTGCCAAGCATGACAAAGCAAATCGTCTCTACAAGAAGAATGGTATATGTCCAGCACTTGACCTTTACGGACCGATAAATAAGAAAGAAATATTATTAAACATGATAAAACAATAAATAATACAAAAATACTACTCTATATAAACTAAACTTAGAAAAACTTACCGAATCGTCAACAAAGTCGCTAAACAGCTCGACTTGAATCTGTTGCTTTTCTTCGTCGAACCCGCTAAGTAACAAAGGAGCAAAGACCGTTGTCCTGATAAACTCATGTAATCGCGACCTGATGGGAAATCTACATCACGAATATTGCCAGATATTGTTAAACAGCATTTTACAACAAACTTTTTTTTACTTATTATAAGCCAGTGTCTTGTTTTTTGTTCGTCTGGTTGCCCGATGATGAAAAGGGGGCGAGAGAAATTAAATCATGTAACTCCTGCGCATACTTTCGGTATTCATCCTGTGGAATACTTTACACACCCCTTTTTTAACGAGGAGTTTGGCTGCTATTTTGCTTAGAATATTCTAGATAGGTTCTTATTTCTGCCACTCCAACGTCAATGCATCCACTGTTGTGTTACGGTTTGAAGTGTAAGAGAGACAAGAGCCAGTGTAATAAACAGACTATGAGAAATAACGAACTTAGTCCTAATAGTAATAACAACGCTTCAGTAATCTTGATTCCAGGTGTCCATGGGCTGCCATTCCTTACCATCGGACAAAGTGGTATCCCTTTATCGTTTTAGTCTTATAAAAAAATCTTTCTTTAAAATTGAAAACATCATCTAAAACTTTTTTACACGTGGTAGAGCCATGCTGCAGTTATATTAGTAGTATAGTTGTAGCACGAATGGGTCGGCTCGACCGGGGAAGGACCACGCTCTCACAGAATACCAGCGTGAAATAGTAGCTTAATGCTGCTGTATTTCGTATGGTGAGTGTAGAGAACCGGAGACCCTTTTTACTGGAAACGAGGCATTCCATCTTAGTCCTCACGGGTGACAACGCATCTGCATTTTGATTCGTAATCGAGGATAGATGTTGATGCCTATGGGCCACAGCAACCACTTACCATCAGGTGGACTGTGCGCTCGTTTGTCACCCTATCCTATAAAAAAAAAACTAAAGTGCTGTTGAAAATTCACGCTTATAAGTATAAGCAGCTATAACTCATTACATCCATTTTCCTTAACCCGTAAGGTTAAGGAAAATTTAATTCAAGCGCAATCCCTGAAACATCTTGATTTCTTTCGCCCTGTACAATGATGAATATTTTTGTTTTTATCTGACGGGAGGACGTTCTACACGACGCGTATGTTTTTATGTATGTTCATTTATTTCTCTGAAAAGGCTGAACCAATTGAAGTTCATCTCTTTTAATTAAATAGGCTATTACCCTAAGGGTGTCGGATGAAGTTTTTATTGTAACTACTTAGACGATTTCACATTGACTATTTACGCGAACAGAAATAATTTATTTCTTTTTTAATTAGCCACTTACCCCCCCCCACACAGCGGACACGAAAGGATAAAACCCATTCTACATGTTACCTTGAGCTTGTGATATTGCTTAGTCCACCCAAAAAGATCAAAAAATTTAACTTTTAGTAAAAAATAAAAGCCGACTTATATGAAGTGGAAACAAAACTATAAATTCGTAATAACTGTCAGTTTTAATTCTTCCACACATTGTCTTAGAAGCTTCAGAAAAGACTTACAAGACTTCAGAAGCTTTTATGTGGAAATTATTATTCTTAGTTTTGAAGACGGTTTCTACATTTTTAAGAGTTATTTTTAACTTTTCTCTATGAAAATCAGTTTTCGAAAATCGAGGTTGTTTCCGAATAACTTTTAAACCGATGTAACGATCGATTCCAAAATATAACCAGCTCTGAAACATGGAAAATTGCTGCAAACCACTTCAAAATCGATTTATGCGTTGAAGAGAAATCGATGACAAAAAATTGCGAAAAAAGTGTTTTTATAACTTCAAAATTTCTGCTTGGATCGTTTTTGATGTAATGAGTTAACTATTAGTTCGTAAAAATATTTGTCGAGCGTTTTGAAATTGAACATAGCGGGAAGTTCCAGGGATGGCCTGCAGAGTAAACAGATTTTTTTAATAAAACTAATATACAATACATTACAGTGTCGCCAATGCATGTCATGTTTTGCGACATTCGTAAGTTTTGCTAATTACTTTGGCTGCAACATACATAACATATACACATAAACTGCTTTTTTTAATTTTCTACCAATGGAAAACTATTTAAATTTTAATTACTTACAGCATTTTTTATCGAAATATTGGTGAAATTGGATGCGTTTAGCACGAGTAATCTGTACAGGGGAATTTGGATAAGGTTATAATTTTTTCCTTTTTATATCTAGTTTAGGTCACAGTAACCGACATAGCCCAACGGATTAGTAAGCTGAAGTGGCAATAGGCCGGCCATATAGCTCGAAGAACCGACAACCGATGGGGAAGAAAGGTTCTCGAGTGGCAGCCTCGTATCGGTAGACGAAGTGTAGGGCGACCCTCACTAGAGATGGAGTGACGACCTGGTAAGACAGGAATAGCGATGGATGCGGCTCAGGATCGTGCTTTACGGCATTTTTTGGCGTAGGCCTATGTTCAGCAGTGCACTTGTGAACGGCTGTCATGATGAATGATAATGATTTATCTAGTTTATCATAGTCACGTATACCTCAAAACTTGAAAGCAAGCAAACCAGTGCGTGTTGCAAGTGATGATCAATGGATCTGAGATGTGGTCCTTCACTGCTGGTCGTATGAGGAAGCTGAAGGTCACTTCGGCAAGCTATGGAGAAGCCTATACTTGGAGTTTTTCGTAATTGAGTTTATTCGCAATAAAACCGGAGTGACTGACACAGCCCAACGGATGAGTGAGATGAAGTGTCAATGGGCCGCCCATAAAGGCTAAAAATCGACGATCAATGGTGAAGACAGATTTATCGAGTGGTATCTTCATACCGTTAAACTAAGTGTAAGTAAACACAAATAGATGAAGTATCAGTATAAGGAAGTTGATGGATGCATGTAGCTCAGGACCATGTTTTGTGGTGATCCTTGGATTAGAACTATGTTCAGCAGTGGATTTATTAAGAGCTGTAATAATGCTGATGATGATGATGATGGTTTTTCCTTTATGAACGTAACAAGATACTGTCCTTTTAATTTTCTAGTGATAAATACTATACGATAATAGTACTTAGTACCTGTATCTAAGCATAGCCGATCTGCATGACGACGAAACAAATACACCTCCTTTTGCCCGCATCTGTGCGCACACCATGAACATGCCTGTAAAAAAACATTGCCTATGAAATATTAAAAATATTGTTACTACGTACGTATGGAACATTCTCGTGCAACGGGATGCAACGAAACTGGCTGATGTACAATATAAAAAAATTAATGCAGATTTACGCTTTTAAGAGGACATGTACAACATCGCTTATTTTCCACACGCTTGGCAGTAAACATAGAATACTATAATTACATACATAATAGAACGGGGAGTGGGCGGAGCCCGTGTAGCCACTAAAATGTCACTAACACGTCAATTTACACGTATAATTGTCAAAACGAGATGTATTTTGACATTAGAGTCGTTTCCAAATTTCGCATGCAAATTATTTAGAAAATGTCAAATTCCACGCTATTTACAAATAAATACGTATTAAAATCTGTCTGACAACACAGCGAATCGAGTTGGTAGTAGTGATAATAGTACGTAATTGCTTGTATGTGTGCTCCCGGCGACGCACAACCTCGTACAAAAAAAGCTTGACAGGCATTCTATTGTGTATTATAGTATGTTATGGCAGTAAATAAATACATCGTGAGGAAGCCCGCATATCCGAGGTATAAAACATTTGGAGAATATGTAAATCTCAAGTCCGTCAAAAAGCAAATAAAAAATACGTATTTTGCGTTACATAACATAACAGTTACTAAAAAGTTCTAGGAAAAACATAATGAATAGTAGCAGGGACGTGGACTATTTGTACCGCAACCCTCTCAGAAATTAATAAAGGCTATTATGCCTAATATTGTGACTAAATGAAGCTACAACTTTATGAGCATGACAATGAATAAAACAAATGACCTATAGAACTGCGCTCGGAAAACTTAATCCAATGGGACAAATGGACTGTTTTTCGTTTTCAACCGACTTCAAAAAATGGAGGAGGTTCTCAGTTCGACTGTATTTTTTATGTGTTACCTCAGAACTTTTTATGTTGCTGTGACTAAGTGCTCCAATTTTTTATTTGGGAGATGGTGCTTCTCATGTGGTCCTATACAAATTTGATCGAGATCTGACCGCCGCTGACTGATAGCTTTTGAGTTATCCTTAATAATACGTATTTAATTGACTTCGACTACATTGATGTTGTTCTCATTTTATTTATATTGAAGTCGGTTTAAATTTACCACTTGTGTTTTTATTAACATCGCTGCGTATTGTTGTCTGCAACATCTACCGGCACGTAGAAATCCGCGCGATATTTTAATAATCGAAGCAGAACACGAGCTGCATGAATGTGCAGTTTTTGATAAGACTGATATCGTAACAATAAATTTTAATGATTAAAACTAAGATAAGAATGTATGAGTTCGAATTTGAAACATTAATTTATGACGCAAACAAAAATAAATTAATAAACATTAATTTCAGTTGCTATTTGGTATTTTTAATTAATCCCCTCAAATTCCCGTCTTTGATTTCATATAGCGTGTGAAGTCATAGTTCAAATTCTGCTGGTATCACTGCAATTGTTGTATAAATAATATCAATAATACTTGGTAATTTTATCACGTGATCAGTAATAAAGAGAAACAATGTGAACCTGCATTTGTAGAAAAAAAGATAACATGTCGAAGGTTCCACAAAGGTAAAGGAAAAAAGCCTTTACAATTTATAAAAACAACCTGTCCTATTTGTGAGGGTGCTATTAGTAATGACACCTAATTTTTGATTTGTGAATCAAAAATTAGAGTGGCAATACAAGACATCAAGGAAAACAGCAATGAGGAAGCAATTGCTGTTTTCCTTGATGTCTTGTGTCATGTCTTTCTTTGTCAGCGTTTGTCACGCTACCCTTTTAGGCAAATTTCCAGTCTACAGCCTATCCCCTGGCTGGATTCGCTGGGCGGACTTTCTACCAGTTTACTGAAGTTTTTACTGGAAAGCATACTTGGTAGAGCCACGCTGCAGCTATATTATGGTTGTAGCACCAATGGGTCGCCTCGATCAGGATCACGCTCTCACAGAATACCAGCGCGAATATCAGCATAAAATAGAGCTAACCCACATAACACCCTTCACCCAGAGGGGTAGGCAGAGAAAGACTTCCATTTAGACATTGAACCCTCCACACCATATACCTACATACAGCTTTAGTACTAATACCACACTTCTCAACAATATTAGCTTCTCATATATCTTCCATTCACTTCCCATATATCAGCTTAATACTTCTGTGTTTCTTATGGTGAGTGTAGAGATCCGGAGACCCTTTTTTACTTGAAACGAAGCATTCCATCTTAGACTTCAGGGGTAACAACGCATCTGAATTTTGATTCTTAAGCGAAGATAAATGTAGATGTCTATGGGCCACAGCATCCACTTACCATCAGGTGGATTGTGTGCTCGTTTGTCACCATTATTCTATAAAAAAAATCCATTTTATTCTTCAAGGGTGATAAAGCATCTGCATTTTGATTCATAATCGAGAATAGATGTACATAGGTGTCTACATAGTATCTACTTACCATCAAGTGGAATTTGTGCTTGTTTGTCACTTATTAAAAAAAAAACAACACGAACCGCTTTCAGTTGTTGGGGTTTGACATTTCCTCGAATCTGAACTTCGAAATTTTCATTGAATTTAAGGATAGCAAGTAGTCCTTTGCAAGGACTTCTAACTTTTTTGATCAAAACACCTTGCAAAGGTGCGTCGGCACTTCACGTCGGGATAGCTGCTTCCCTATATGTATTCTCTATAGAGTCCGGTCGTGCATGGAGTTTGCTGCTGTACATGAGCTGGTGCTGCACAATGCAAATAAGCAGCTTTGGACTCGATGGAAAGATGAACTAAGGGGCTTATTGGTGACCCGAATCTGGTTAAAACCAATCTCACTAGTCTCGAACACAGGCGCAGAGTAGCCAGCTTTTCAGTTTTCTAACAAGATACTCGTACATTTTGGAAGGGTGAGCACAGGAATTGTATAACATAATTCCTTCCTCTCCCTTCCGCCATCGGACAACCAAACGCTCGGTCAGTCTCAACCGTTTTCGTTGACAACTTGCCACGCATTCAAACCAAACGATTTGCTTCATATTTTGTCACGCGTACAGCAAAGGAGGTCTTTCCCTCTAATTAAAATTTGGGTGTCTTTAAGGCAATAGTGAATCTACTTTTCTTTTTCTTCTTTTTTTTTAGAAAACGTTATCTCCACACTAGGATTTTTCCTGTATCGTGGGGGCAGTTTACAAACATAAATTTTATAAGGACAAACATCCAGACCGGGAACAATTATTTGTAGGCCATACAAATACTTGTTGCATGCGGGACTCGAACCCGCGGTCCTTGGCGCTGTAACTCATATCTAAGCCACTGCGCCACGGAGCCGTCAAAATAGGCTTCAAATAGGTTTGATTTGGAATAGGCTTTTGTTAAACTAAGTCAGTACTCTATCATTTTCGGCTTCAACACCACTTACAACCATTTGGGATAGTAGTCAAGCACTGGCCTAGAAAAGTAAAAAACCACATGCGGTGCAGACGGTCACTGGATAAAAATATCTAAAGGTTACGACTTTAACCTCCATTGGCTTCACTTATCAGTTTGTCGAATGTTTGTACGAAACAATAATTTAAAAATATACTGCGTAATAGTTGCAGTCACTTTAAATTCTGTCACCGATGTCAGTGTTGCCAAATTTTAAAGTTTGTTAAATTTTAAGCAAATTCTAGTAATAAAACATTAATAATTTTAATTTTTAAATAGCAATGACATTCTTATATCATCATAACCTCAATATGATATTCTATGTGCCCCTTTTATATCAGACAGGGTGTTTTATACATATTATATTATATACAGTACGTGGACGACCGCAGCTTTGCTCGGTATTTTTTTGGAAATCGCGTTCTTTGTAAATTATATTTAGATACAAATTACAAACTGATGAAATATGAATAAAATTTTTCGATCGAACTGGCTTTCTATAATTTCAGCACCACCCAATATCCCATTAGAGCACCGGCAAAATTTACAATGAGTCCTAGTTTATTGCCCCCGAAACCCCCTGCATACTAAATTTCATGAAAATCGTTGGAGCCGTTTCCGAGATTCCGATTATATATACTTGTATATATATATATATATATATATATATATATATATATATATATATAATATACAAGAATTGCTCGTTTAAAGGTATTGGTTATTATATATGTCGCACTATTAGGCACATGTTGCATAATAGCATTTATGGTACCTTACTCCGTAGCTTCAATTTGAATTAGCAATTTTGGTGGTGCTGACTGGATTTGAACTTAGAATGCTTGAGCCATGTAATATTTATATGTGGTAGAGCCATGCTGCAGTTATATTAGTAGTATAGTTGTAGCACGAATGGTTCGGCTCGACCGGGGAAGGACCACTCTCACAGAATAGCAGCGTAAAATAGTAGCTTAATGCTGCTGTGTTTCGTATGGTGAGTGTAGAGAACCGGAGACCCTTTTTACTGGAAACGAGGCATTTCATTTTAGTCCTCACGGGTGACAAGGCATCTGCATTTTGATTTGTAATCGAGGATAGACGTATATGTGTATAGGCCGCAGCAACCACTTACCATCAGGTGGACTTTGTGCTTGTTTGTCACTCTATACCATAAAAAAATATAAGAAGCAGAAACGTACCTAAATCCTTATTCACCTGTGACTCAGGCATGTCCAAAAGCAGTTTAATTCGATACAGCTGCCCTGGCATAAGCAGATTGTTCCACCGTGTGAGTTGAATGTGAGCTGATGGAAAGGAGCAGACACCCATGTTTTCTTCGCATGACCTAGAAAAAATTACTATAACAGGATGTACCAACTATTGAGTACAGCATCATCTTCCTGAAGTTACACCTGAAGCATTATCTAAGCTAACGCATCTTTCTCTCTAATCTGCATTTTGGTTTTGAATATAATATGTAAAGAATAAAAATAAGGATATCCACTACCTCACACAATCCTGTGGGTGTCGTTAAGGACGACAGAAGGAAATTAAAGCAGGTGATGGGCAGCAGCATCTTCCTGATAACAAGTACAAATAATAAAAAACTGCGGTTGACAACCCGTTTGCGAAGCGTGTCATCTATGGCAAAATCCCCCTTTGAGGCAATCTATGGGGGAGGCCTATGTTCAGCAGTAGACTTTTATAGACTGTGATGATGACGGTGAATAAAACCTAAAACAGGCTCATATGAGTGTCACAAAAGTGAAAGCCCATGAACATTAGCTTTTATCCTGTGGTTGACTCGAGGCAGCACACACAGTTAAAGCTACATATGTTTTGCTGCTTTTTTGAAGACATAATATAAAGGATGCCGTTTTTATATAAAACTCCAATGGCCTAGAGGATGCCAGAATGGTAGGTTGGTATATCTATCCTGTTTATGCCAGACATAAATTAACCCAGACCACTGATGGGAATCAGCATAAAACGTTATTGAAGTGGAACTACAATCATCATTCAACCTGTAAAGTGAAAGTGTCAAATTGTACCTGCAGTAGGAAAGACCAATACCCAGTAGAGAACTATGTCATGAACTGAAGGAGAATGAATTTTACTTAAATGGGATACTTTGATTATTAAAATAAATTTTTAGTTATTTTAAACAGGGATTTTTTTAACAATTATTAGCCAGCGCTTAACTACAATCTCACCAGAAGTGGTGATTTAGCCTAAGATAAAGACATTAAAATTAGATGGAGAGACAGATGCTGGCAACTTATTTCACTCCTTTGCTGTATGCATGACAAAAAATGAAACCATTTGCTACATTTTATTTTATATTAGACAGATCCTGAGTTTGACATTGCATCATGTCAAACATTTCTGGTTTTAATCCAGTAGAGAAGAATGAATAGAGAGGGTGTTTGGCACTTTAGTTTCATGATGGTGTGTATAGCATTTTTATCTCACCATGAGTTGACTTACTTGTGAGCGCAGGTGCACATACACATTATTTTAGTTAGCATAAGCACGAGAGTCGCAACAAGTAGTAAAATTTAAAACTTCAATATAAATAAAATGAAACATCATCATCGTAGTTGAAGTTGAGTCAATTAAATATGTATTATTAAGGATAACTCAAAAGTAACTGGTCAGCTCTTGATCAAATTTAAATGGGACCACATGAGAAGCACCAGCTTTCAAATAAAAAAGAATCATCAAAATCAGTTCACCAAGAAAAAAGTTTTGACACACTTAAAAAAATATAGTTTAATTAAGAACCTTCTTTTTATGAAGTTGGTTGAAAATAACATATTATTTTCTTTAATTACAATGGCCAGACCATTACTACCTTTACCTAACACTACCTACAGTTACACATACAAGCTTGTCTCAACATATCACAACTACAAGTAAGGCTAAGTGGTGGGAGTAGTCATTTCAAAACATAACTAGTTATTGAAACTATCTATTCATACAATAGCGGCTAGCAGGTTATTCTAGTCCAAGGAAACTATCTATTACAGTAGACTTTACTTGGGTACACCATTCATAGACAAGTGATAAGAACTAAATGTAACAAATCATTTATTTGTCAATTTTTGCAATGCATGGACAACCGCTTTGGCTTTTGAAGTACTATAAGTAATAATAACATAAATAAGAAGTGTGAATAATCTAGGATTGTACTTATGCAGTACTTGTATATATTTTATTATGTATAAACAATGAACTTTTAAATGCACCTGCTTTATTTAAAATTCAACTTTAGTATTATTTGTTGCTAAATTAACTCGTCACAGCCAGTCCTAAGCCTGGATAAAGCATGAAGGAAATTACATTGCAATATAAGCCTTTTTAACACTAAAATTTCAGTAACAGTAATCTTAACAAAATAGGAACACCAAACGAGCTAAAAACTTTTTCACGAAACAGCCCTCGTTTTATTCGCCACATTTTTCAATTAAACATGCTGTGAAACACTCTCAATAGAGTGCGTTAATAAGCTACTATTAAAATAGAGTGTTTCAAGAGCTACTATTAATATTGAATAGATAGTTTTGTTTTGTTTATTTAAAAAAGCCACTACAACCCACCACTACTCAGTGTCCTTTGTGAGATAAAATATCTACACATTTATAGAATTATAATAACCAAAGATGCAGGGATTAAAAAATAATATTGTTTATGGATGATTTGATACATATGTAATAAATTCAGCAAAATTGATATTAGTAGAGGCAAATGACATATTTTGTGGATCATTGGCTTACTGTTACTGTTATTGATAAAGGCTATTAAAGTTCACTGGTGAACTTAGGCCTCCCCAATAAATTGCCTCATAGGAGGATATTTACAATAAATGCAGCGCTTGGCAAGCAGGTTGGTAACTGCAGTTTTTATTTTATTTTTAGTCATTATTAGGAAGACAGCATTTGCCTCTTTCAAACAAATATTAAGGAAAGTTTAAAATTTATATATTAATGTGTATGAATGCACACATTACATATATAATATGAATTTATATAAAAGTTTTATTAAGTTTATTAGGCTTAAATTTTGGGCAATCACAAACTGTGTGTTAATCTGTTAATAGAGTTGATACATTGTTTACCTCTTTTATGTTTAAATATCTGCATAGGAAAAATTTTTTGTGACTATTTTGTGAAATAGAAAATTAATAAAATAAATGGTCATTAAGGATTAATAGATCCCACCCTGGTAAAGTTGGGGCAGGCTGCTAGTAATACAATAGAACTTTAGGAATAACTGGCCATGGTACCAACGAACTGCTACTTTAAACATTGCTCCCCATCATCATGCATTTTAAAGGTGATATCTATTCTAGGCTACCTTCCTGATATTTCTCCGAGCCAATATTTACAATAATAACATGACAATAACAAACTGCAGTAGATTGTTACAGGCTGATATAAAAAAGATATTATAGTAGCAGGTCTTCATATCTCTTATCTTTTCGTTTTATAAGTTAAATAAGTAATGTAATTTATTAAGAATATTTCACTACTTACCTGAACTGTAAATGCACTGGTCTTATATGCGTGACATTCGGCATATAAATATAGTAAAAAATTATATACATAAAAATAGATATCCACATAATTGCTGACAAAAACACAATTAATAGGCATACTTTTAACAACAGTTCTTTCACGCTATTAAAGCCTTTGTTAGTTTTCTTCTTGTAATTCAAATATTGCTTGCCAAGAAAAGCTTCAACAGGAACACGTATAAAATCTCTAAAGAGTTTTAACGGGTTTATATACCCCAAAAAAAGATCCATCTTCACCAGTTTATACAAAGGTACTCTGTGATCTTCACAGTATTTATTTTTACCTACAATACAATGTAGGTATTCAAAATTTCAATCTCGTCAGAGAGTAGCTAGTTTTTATTCAGTTAGTAATCTATAATCTATTAAGGACAAAGAACACTTATTTTAGCGGAGGGTAGAACAATACATTATTTTGATTTTAACTGATTTTAACACACTGGGAATAGAAAGAGAAAAAGTATTTCTTGGACCTCAGTTCAAAAGTCAAGACCAAATACTACTAGAGTCAAGATAATTAACGTAGTAGGTAGATAAATTATTACTTTCAATAGACTTGGTAGATAAATTAATACTTTTAAAAGATAACGATTGTCGTTGATAAAATAAAACAATAAATAAAACAGAGTAGGGAATTGCTTTTGTATGCCTTTTTATACAACAAATGTTGTAATAAAAATTATGTAAAAAGCATTTTTACTTCAAAAATATATTCGTTCAATGTACATACTTCATTTGAAAGTTTATTTATTAATAAATGGTAAATAAAATAGCTAATACAGATAATATTCAATGGGTAGATAGTGCATATATATACATTTATACCGAGCACGAGCAGCAATAACAAAGATTAATAAATATGTAGCAAGCTATAGTCATTGAATTGCATTTGCATTGCCCCTTTGCACGAGAAATCTGAACTCGCTAATCTCTATCCACCAAAATTATAATATAATACTACCTAAATATCTACCTAGAGCGATGCCTATTCTACTTCCCTATATAAATATTGTAGTCTCTGTCTACACCTCTCTTGCCCCATTTACACTCAGCCTTGTTGGGCAGGGAAGTGAACAGAGAAGTGGGCAGGGCAGTATGTAAATAGTCTGTTTTTCAATGGTCTAAGGAATTTCGCGCGAAAGTCAAAGGACGGGCAGCGCGAGCGGGAGCGAATGTTTATATTCTCACTCACTTTCCGCCGAAGTTCGACCGAGAAAGAACGAGCTACGTTACGTACGTACGTGATTATTAATCTGTCCTGTGTTAAGATGACATTTAGTAATAATAAAACAATTAAATATTTAGAATTTTATGAAATTGGGCGGGTAATATGGGATCCTCATGATAAAAACCATGAATTGCATGTAGTAGCTACTTACACTGAGAGCAGACATAATGGTATCACACCAACAAATTCGACGTCAGTCATTGTTAGGAGTTGATCAATAAAGAAGTATGAAGGCTGAGTGTAAACACCCACTTGCGTCGTTATTGCCGCAGAAGGATTTAAGGAAATATTTCTGGCAGCGACAGGAGTAGTAGCAGTGGCTGAGTGTAAATGGGGTATTTGTTTATGTTCTACACTACATTTTGTAGTGGGGCCATCACATCCAAAGATATTTTATTTTAAACACGAAGTATAATAAAATATCTTTGATCTGTTTCTGTTGTCACAGTCAATGACGTGACGATGATATATAAGTAGAGGGTAAATGAAACAGCAATAACTTTAAAGTTTCTCAATCTGCATGGCAAATTATTTAACCCTTTAACCCTTCAATACCCATAAAATTCACATGCAGTCGTATGCGTCCATCAAATCCCGAGCGGTCGCGTGTGACCGCACCCGGGTGGGTGTGGTGCTGTGGGTACAGCACTTTAAACAATTAAAACTTATAGTCTCTACATTTTAGAGACTACATTTCTATGAAAAAGTTTGGCATTATAGAATTAATACAAAATTCTCTATCCTGTGGTCTAAGCAAATCAATTACTCTATGGATTTTCATTTTTAATCTACCGTAAAATTGCGCCTTTTTCGTATGGTCGGTAAATGTCGTAAATTGACAGTAGAATAGGTAAAAGCATGGAGGTTAGAGAACAGGAGAACAATCGCCGTAGAAAATAGTGTCCCAGAAATATGGACACCATAAGTGAGGCACTGCGATCGCCAAGTTCACTCAATAAAAGTAATTTTCAGTCTATTTTTCCGATCAGATGGTAAACCACTTGCACATCCGCACAATAAAATATTTCTCCATTTTTTAATGTTTCTTCTTGTCAACAATTACAAAATTACGGAGCATGAAAATTTTCTTATCATTGCCGCTAAGAAAATTTGTACATTATTCAACTAACTTTATCTACTTGTACTCATAAACAGCTAACTTCACAGTCACTACTCACCGACGTCAGCGCAGCGTCAGATAAATTCTACAATTTTCAAGAACAGGCGGGCTATGCTTTAGTACGTAGCGATCGTTCTACTGTTCTTTAACTTTCTCTATGGGTAAAAGTAAAAATACATAGAGTAACTGACGTTTGTTTAGTCCACAGGATAGAAATTTCGTATAGATTCTATAATGCCAAACTTCTTCATAGAAAATTAGTCTCTAAATATAAATTTTTATGGGTTAAAGTGCTGTGGGTGGGTGCGGTCGGATCCGTCGGCTTGAATTTAGACGGAACATCACCTTGGTCGGATCTACTCTTATTAGTTTGTGGTCGGATTCGACCGTGTGCCCATTGAAAGGCTAACAGAATATAAACCTAATGTACAAGAAATATAACAAAAATATTTTAAATTGAATTTATTGTTATTCAAATAAAAATAGAAACAAAGGGAAAGACTGAAAAGAAAAACACACGCGGTAAAATAAAAGTGAAACTTTCAGGGAACTAAATTTTGAGAGAATTAGCTGAAAGCAGAGTATCAGGAGTGGGATAATGATTGTAGGGTTTATTTTTTATAATATTGTTACGAAGTTTTATTATTATATTATTCATTAGCGATCCGCCTCGGCTTCGCATGGGTGATACCTGAATTCTACAACAGCGCCACCTATAACTATAACCTTCGCGGAATGCAAGCAATGCGTTGGCAAAGTTTTACGGCAATCTGATGAACTAAATGGGTGCCTCGCGAACTCAATGATCGCCAGCGCGAAGTACGCGTCGTGCCTTGCACTGCACAACAGGCACACAAACGAAGAAATTTTTGAACCGCATCATCATGTAAATATATAACAGCCGAAAAGATTAAAAAAAAAACTCCAACTATAGTCAGTGCTTATTATTACAAATGGTTTGGAATACAGCATCGAGGGTGAATTATTAAGGCCAGCCACATCCGTTGAATTTCCAGCAAGTCAATAAAAGTCCTTGTTAGCGTCGCAAGCGTAAAATGATTAAACCAATATTTATATAGAAAGGCTAATCCTTGAACCTTAAGACAGTGTGTAAATGTATGAATGGCATGTGAATGAAGTGAAGGATGTATGCATTTGTTTTTAACTTAAAGTCATGTGTTGCGTAACCATGAAGGTTATTGAACAGGAGAACGATAACTACGTCCTAAAGCATAGCCCGCTGAAAATGGTAGAATTTATAGTAGCGCTGACGTCGGTGAGTATAATATATCATAGTGACTGCGAAGTTAGCTGTTTATGAGTACAGGTAGAAGTACAAGACTGGAAGAAAGGCAAAGTCATCGTCTTGCCGAAACCCGGAAAGGACAGGCGTAGAGCTGCCAGCTACAAGACCGATCACGCTATTACCGCACATAGCTAAACTGTTAGAAATATTGCTGCTGACGTCTCCGTCCGTGCATCCAACTTCGGGCAGAGCACCACGGATTCAGGAGGGGTCACTCTACAGTCACACAATTGACTAGAGTGCTGCACCTGCTTGCGGCAGAATACAACCGTGGCCGCATATCGTTGGGCGTCTTTCTCGACATTGAGAAGGCGTTCGACCGGGTGTGGCACTCAGGATTACTTTATAAACTGCATATACAGACCAGTGTCCCTCTTGCTATGTTGCGGCTAATGGCGTCTTTCCTGGAAGATAGGAAGTTCTACGTCTGCGTAGGGGACGCCGAATCCGCAACACGTACCATCAGAGCCGGGGTTTCTCAGGGCAGCTGTTTGTCTCCAGTCCTACCGCCAAACAAAAAGTATGCGGACGATAGCGCCTATTTCACCTCGTCCAGAAGAGCCCATAGAGCCACTGCCAGAATGCAGCGTCTGCTGGACCTGTTGCCACCATGGCTGAACGAGTGGAGAATGGTCGTTAACGTTGGTAAGACGACCGCTCTGCTCACTCGCCGTCTCAGAAACCTACCACCTCCGCTGATCCTCAATAGCCAGAAGATCGCGTACGAGAAGGCCGTGACATACCTTGGGTGCCGGATTCACCGAGCATTGCGCATGACTGCGCAAGTCGACTTCGTCGTCCGCAGAGCCAGATGTGCGCGGGAGATGCTCCGTCCAGTCCTGGCATCCAAGCTGCCAACTAAAACCAAGCTCCGGATATACAAGATATATATCTGGACCATTATCACCTACGCTGCTCCGGCCTGGTACGCGCTTCTGAGGTGGCGACTGTAGGCCCAGCAGAACCTGTCATAAAGGACGATCGTCGGAGTAGGTCGCTACGTCCGGAATGACGTCATTGGGGCCGATCTGAAAGTCGAGACCATCACAGACTTCGTGGCCCGGCTGGCGCGCGGCATTTTCGACCGCGCCGACAACGGGCCACACGAACACCTCAACGGCTTTGCGCCGTTGCACACACGGCCCCCAGACGGGCTACCTTATCCAAGAGAACTCCTCTCTATATAGATTAGAGAGTCGAGTAACAACCCACAATGGTGCAGATAGGCTAACTCCGACTTTGTACCTTCCTTTGTACCTTTTGTACCACTTTAATAACACGCCTTTAACACCAAAGGCGCCCAGGACCGGCACACTGTAGTGTGTCGTGAGGAATGTCCGGGTAAAAGGGTATACCCCATGGCCCGATACCTGCTGGGCAGAAAGCCCATGCAG